GCTGTGAATCACAAGCTATTACCTACTCCAGGGGAAGCTGCACTGGAGTGTTTTCCCTAGCAGTTCTCCAAAGTTCTCCCAGGGCTTCAGGCATTAATTACTCCTGAGGAATCATACCTCTATACACACACCTCTTTTGCACTGATGGCTGAGTGGAGAGCAAACAGGGCAATGCTGTTGCTTCCCAAGCCCTACCATTTCTCATGCATGTTCTGTGCCACTAGCGAAAACTCGGCTGCATTTAGCCCACGGTACTGCTGGTCTTGTGCCTACTCATGACCTACCTGAGGATCCACGCTGCCTTGTCTGCAGGGACAGGTCTCCTACAGTTGGACTGCACGCCTCAGCTCGGGCTGTGATATTGCCAGAGAAGCCTATTACTGGCAGCACACTCCTTTGGCACTTCCCAATATAGCTTACTCTTAAACCACTGGGGTACAGATGTGCTGTATTCAAAGTCTGTCCCAATTCCTCCTGCTCGGTATGGAGATAGCTGGGACAGAAGCATTATCTAGCCAGCAACCCAGAGGACAAGGGGCCCTGACCTTCAAAGCCAGTAGACATTAACATAACAAATACATTCCAGTTTAATGGCCTTAAAAAGGAGAGGATCTTCTTCCCACAGAGATTAAGAAGAACTTTGTACCCATCTAGTTTGCACTGATAACCCAGTCTGACAGGAGACCTCGAGACCAGAAGAGAAAGCACACACTTATCTGACCTCCTTCCGTTCACAAGCACTACAATCGCTGGACAGTGTTGCTATTGAATGCTCAGAAGTGGTTAGAGCCAGACACCTTCTTTCTGTCTGTGCCAAAATAGCATCCCGTCATTCCTGGCATTATGCCCACAATTCACTCCTATGCTGAGAGCATATTACAACCAAATCCAATACTGGAGGTGGCCGTTTCCTCGCTAAGCGCAGTTCTGTGCCAAGAGCTCCACAGACTTGCTGGCTTCGAGGGCAGCTGCAGATTTTGGCTTTGACCGTTCAGAAAAACCTGGTTACTGAGCTGCTGCCATTCTGTAAGCTGTTACGGCAGAATGAGCTAGGTTTCTTTCTTTTGGTGAGACAGTGCTCGGCAAAGAGGTCTCTACTTGGTCTTGCCGAGTTGAAGTGTATTTCTCAAAGCACTTGGTTATTCTGACAAGCTCTGGTTTTCTGGTGCCCAGTGTCAGCTTTGTTGTACTTCATGTCACCAATGCAGGGGTTTGCCATTGCCAGCCCAGCATTAGACCGTGTTCTAGGCACAAATAAAAGAGCCCAGTATGCTACAGCCTTTGGGCAGACATTGTTCTGGAATGCAGGGGAAACACTACTCTTTTCATATCAATACTGCCAAATTTATTTCACTAAACATAAATCCAGATTTTAATCCACTTCCTTCACCTCTCTCCTCCACCCTACCCAGAGGACTGAGTCACAGTCTGGCCCCATGGGAACTTTTGACTATGAGAGATAACAGACTTTAGCACATTTAGACAGCCAAATTTATTACTAAGCTTAGCTAGAGATTGATGTCCCTATTAGTAAAAGGCCTGGCATTCAAGTTGGACTGGCTACAATATCCAGCCCCAGGCTAGAAATGAGTGCACCCTGCCCTGAGAGCAGCAGTGAAGTGTGCTACTTTTTTTGAAAGATGAGGCGTTCCCATTTCCTTAGACAGGGACAGATCTTCCCACTCTTGCCTGCAAGGGATTTTAGAAGTCCCTTTATTAGCCATTTTAGGAAGGTGATTATCCCTCAGAGACTGTTTCCTGTAAAGAGACACCAGGATTACTTTGCCAATAATGCAAGTGTCAGAAGGACATTCCTTTGGTAGCAATATAGAAAGGTTTGCCATCTCTAGACAGACAACCGGCATCGCCTTCTACTACCATGCCACTCCCCCAAACCCTGCTTGCTCCCTGCAGTGCCTTGGTAATAGCACATGCGTACAGCCAGCCAAACTTCTTGAATTAGCCGTTAGGGATTCAGAGCTGTATACAGCAATCTTACTGCTGACATGAAATCCTCACCTCTCAAAAAATGAAAACCCTCCCCAAGATGGTCTAGTAAGCCTGCACTTAAGTAGCATACAGATCTGTGCTGCTAGAACAAATACAGGGAGTTATACTCACGGTCAAGTCCATTCAAGTAGCACATCCGTATTTCACAGTGTCCCCACACTGCGCTTACCACTGGATATAGCTTTTTCCCTTTGAGTCCCCGAAATGCAACACCCATGTATTGCCCATCTACGATGAAGCTCAGTGTCCCATCATCCATGTCCAGAACCACCAGGAAGGAGTCCGGCACAATGAAAGTTTCATCTGGTTCTAAGAAGGCAGGATAGGTTTTACTTGGCTGGTTCTTGCCATCATGGTACAGTCTGTTGCGCCCAAGGTCCCACCCCCAAGATTCATGGTTATTTCCTACAAGCCTCGTGTACCCTACTGAATGCAAAGGGGCATCTGCTGTTGCCACCCCAACCACAGCGTGCGTGCCCCGCTGCCGCATTGCCCACGTGATCTGCCACACATGCAGTCCTCGTGTATATCCCACTTTGCCTCTGATGGCATCTGTACTCTGAGCCACCGGATGCCGGTGAAATATGAGTTTGTCATCCTCTTTCACAAATACATTCAGCGAGCGATCATCATTGTTCCATGAATGCAATAACTGGACTTCATATGATACCGGAGGCATGTCCAGTAGCAAGTCCAGACGCGTGGGTTTGCTGTAGTCGAGTCCTTGGAGTTCCTGTTTCAGTGGCCTGTATACAGGGTCCCTCATATCCACAGTCTTTATCCCACCTGTGACCTTCTGACCCATTGTGTGTCCTGATTTTGCCTATTTATAGGCTCCCAAGGCAAGCTCATCGATTTACCCGGCCGCTCCAGCTGTCACTCAGCCCTACAGAGAAGATTGCTAGGAGACCTTGTCAAGATGTGCACCAGTCAGTATTGCCTAATGGGTGGAAAGAAAAACAGAAGACGAGTTAAACATTAGCACATACAGCCTTGTATGCAACATTTACAGAGCACACTTTTAATCTGTTTATTCTGACAACTTGTCCTTCCCTTCCACCAGCGAGGAAGGGTAATGCATGCTACTTATGCAGTATACCCTGCATAGCAGAGATGCATATAGATCAAATAGGTAGGCACTAAGTTTCTAATACCCCCTTCAGAAAGGCACTTGAATTTCTGCTTCTTTAAGGAAGGTACAGATTCAGCCACCAGAGCTCATCTTCTCTTTACAGCAAATGCACTGCTCCCTATCACTGCATCATTAAACCTGAAGAGAGCACATCTGTATTTAGGCTGCCTCCAGCAAACCTTGCTTTTACATCATGATCACCTCACCTATGTGGTCCAGCCTGGAAAATTCAAGAAAAGAGTTTATTCAAGGCAGAAGCCTCAGAAGCCAGTACACAGTAATGCTTGAGACTTAAGTTGTTTCCTGATTGTCTTCAGTTGGTATGAGAACTGAAAACAGTGTCTTGTATAAGCATAACTTTGCCTGGCCTCCCAGCCCTCGTTCATACCATAAGGTCAGGCTAAGCAAGACATCCCAGTGAAGGCCCAGGCTGCCCACTGGTGTTCACTGCTCCAGCTCCTTCCAACCACCATGGAGAATTTCTTCTCCTGCCAAAGCCATCTCTATAGCTATCCACAGTGGAGCCAAAACACACAAGGCATTTAATACTCAGAAAGTGTCCAAACAGCTTCAGTCAATTTCTCAAAGATAGGCTTGAGTTTACAATTGCGTTGGCTTTGGACGCTGTAGGAACATGCTACAGCTGACTAGGAATGAGGGACTGGTTTATATGGATAATTGTTCTGCAAAGCTTTAGTCTGAACTG